GGCCAGCACAACAGGTGTCATTTACTCATATATCATGTGGGTAGCACAACCGTGAGTCAGACACGGAGATACTTACAGAATGTAGTTTCCTGGGTGGCAGATGGCTTGTCTGGGTGTAACCTGACAGCAGCTGATTAAGACATTCAGGGTTACTGTGGGAGAAACATGCATGTGCAGCATAAGCCTCTTTTCCAAGCTAAGAAACAGTGTCTACTTTTTTAGTACTATTATTTTAAAAACAATTATTTTTAAATTATTTTGGGTGGCTGACTTGAAAGTTTTCAAGTGCTTTGGTTTGGTACATGTCATGCAACTGCTGTGGCCGTAACTCTTAGCTTTTTTAATGAACGCATGAAGGTGATTGTGGTGTTACTAGTGTAAGATTCAAAACATCTGGTCTTCCTTGCAACTGAAACTTCACAAATATTTGCAGCTCTTCTTTGTGACACAAACTTTGTACGGTCACTTGCTTTCTTTCAACTTCCATTTCATCAGCAGCTATGTGAATAAAAGGAATTTTTGAAGCCAGAACCCCCTGAGATTTATTAATGGAACGATTCTTCATTTACCAAGTTGGGAGGATAGAGGGGGACTAGCACCCTGGCCACAGGGCTGCCTTATCTCTCATCTGTTTTAGAGTATCTGCCTTTATCGTGTTTGTCTTTTTACAAAAAGGACCTTGGTCTTCAGTAGCTACAATCCCAGATACTTTTATATTTACATGTCTTCAGATTATACTCCAGGTATCATAACCCGAACCTACCATACACTTACCTAAGCCTTTCAGCTTCACGGCCTGGAATCTCTCATAAATAAGGTCAAATTATTTTACATATTAGGATCCTCACTCTTGCCGAGTCACGCTTGTTTTGACCTTCAGTTTTTTGTCTTGAGCTCTTTACCCGACAAGGTTGGTTTGGTTTTTTTGGCTGCTGTTGCTGTTTAATATGTACGAGCACCTGCACCACGTCACGGCACAGAAGGATGGACGTCGCTGAAGACACTTTTGATAAGGACACATCATCAGCCAATTTCCTTATCGGGTGTCATCTTTGCACCAGCCTCACAACCTGCTGGTCTCGAATCTAAGTTTTCTATATTAGAACCCCTTTTGGGGAGGATTCCGAACGAAGCGCCTGCGAAGGCAGCCCTGAGGAGGCGCGCGAGGCCGGCCCCCCGCGGCTGAGGCGGGGGCGGTGAGGCGGGGCCGGGCCGGGCGCCCCGGGGCTCCCTC